TCCTTTCCTATCAGGGTCTTTTCCTTGAGCCCCACCCCATTTCCAGAGGGCTCAGCATTACGCACTGGGCATCCAATGTAGGCTGAGTTGTGCACGCCGGGAGGCCGTTTGTAGGTGCCATCGCTGTCTGTGGTGATGAGCCTGTCCTTCTCCGCATCAGCGGGGCACCCATTGACCTGGTGTTTCCGGCGGGGCTTAGGAGAGCGTTTTATTCGTGAGCTGCCAGAATAAACAGAAATTATCTTCATGGGAAATAAGCCTCCTGCGGCTGAGTTACCCCCTCCATACAATAAGTATCTTCTGAGGACCTACTGTGTGCTAACCACGGTAAGATGCCCCGAGGAGACAGACAACATGGCAGCCCCAGTCTGGGCCCTGCAGACCCGACCTACCAACAATCATGTAATCAGGACACTATCTAGTGACACAGATGGTCAGAAAAGGGAGAGGTCGGGGGGAGCTTAATACCAAGAGTGGGATCTGAGGCTGGGCAGGGCCATGGGAAGCAAATGGGAGGCACAGAAACAGCATCCAATCAACTCAGGCCAGAAAGGGGAGGCAGGGGAAGGTCTGAGGGAGCATGAGGGGCCATCTACGGGGCAGCGGGAGGAGCTGCACGGAGAGGCAAGCCAAGCGCTCCAGAAAGATTCCACAAGGCAGGCGACAAAACGCGACTCCCATTGGGCACAGGAAGACACAAATGAGAGCCGTACTTCAAGAACATATGTGAGCCAAGGGGCAGAGCTGGGAAGCCCAGGGGACGGTGAGTCCCAACACGCTGCAGGAGGCTGCGGGAAAATAAGTGAGATCCACCTGGACAGCTCGACAGCAGCACCAGAGGGGAGGGGAGGGAGGAAGGGCCAGGGAGGCCATGGAAGAGGCTGCTGGAGCTCAGTTTTGTGTGTGTTCTTAAGCCCAGAGGATCCGTGCAGAGGCAACCGGAGACGCAGAGGAGAAAACCCACCGCAGCTTCCGCATGAAGCGCCCCAGGCTGACCTGGGCCTTCCTGGAAGCAGAAATAGCCCTCCGGGCACAACCCTGCTCAACTCATTCTCAGGAACTTTCATGAAAAAATGGACAGGACCTTTTGTCCTGGGCCCTACAACACAGAGGGACATCCCCATCTGCCTATGCTCTCAGGGCAAGTCCCCACGCCTCCTCCCAGGCAGGGCCCAGGCCCACCTCTTCCTGGGCTCTATGAACACCGAAGGCACGCTGGCCGTGGGGTCCAGGATCTTGTCGATCTGCATCTGTGCCCTGCGGTACACGCGGTGCCGTTCCTTGGTGTCGCCCGAGGACAGGTCGTCCACCACCGGGAACTCGTAGTGGCCGCGGCGCTTGGCGCGCAGCCGGATCTTGTTGCGATGGTGCTCGATCTCGGACTTATGCCGCAGCGCCGTCTGAATCTGAGCAGGGGTGGCAGGGGGGCGGCAGATGGGTGTTCTCAGAGGTCTCTGGACATGCTGTCCACCTGGCCTTTTAGGCAAGCCATGCTCTCCCCAACCCTGGACTTGCTGTCCATGGGCTCCAGGCGGGCGCTAAGGGAGGTGACGGAGTGATGGTGAGACCCAACACTCTGCAGGAGGCTGGGGAAAACAAATGAGATCCACCTGCAGGAAGGAGGGGCAGTGGCGTCCTCTACCCAAAGCAGGGGAAATGCCCAAACCCTGGAAATCGGCTTGTGACAACTCTTGAGCACACACTTGTCTGATCAAAAGTTAGGATATGCCCTGAGAACATAATAAATATTTTCCATACTCAATATTATCACTACTTTGGAGATTCTTAAAGTAAAACTGACATTCACGGAAGGTATGTGCATTACATTGTAGAATATCCATTTATGGATAATTACCCAGCTTAGGGAAACACATTCCCTGACATGGGATCCCCTCCTCATAAAGAGTAACATCCTGAAAAATAGCAACGTCATCAGTGGCCATGTGGGACCTGACCCAGAGCCAAAGCAGGATTTTCTAGGGGCAGTGGTCTCAGGGTTCCTGGGTTACTCCCTTCTGCACATCTGCCAATGTGTCTAAGAGTGTCCCTGATCAGCATCTGATCTTTAAAAAATAAGCATGTTTTAAAATGAGCACAGTTGTCAGCAGTTCATGCCTTTGTGACCTTTTGACACTGTATCTTTCACTCTTTTTAAAGCATTGACAAAAATCATAAATGTATTTTTTTATTAATATGCTTAAAGGTGGTATTAGCCAGATGGTGCATACCTGTAATCCCAGCTACTCTGAAGGGTGAGGCAGAAGGATTCTAAGTTAGAGAGGCCGGTCTGGGCAGCTTAGTTAGACCTTGTCTCAAAATAAAATTTTAAAAATGCTAAAATGACTGGGCAGGGTGGCACATGCCTGTAATCTCAGCTACTCGGGAAGATGGGGCAGGAGGATCTCAAGTTCAAGACCAGCCTCTTCAGCAACTTAGTAAGGCCTTGTCTCAAAATACATAAATAAAGAGGGGTTGAGGATGTAGCTCAGAGATAGAGTACCCCAAGATTCAATCCCCAGTACCCCACCCAAAAAAGAAAGAAATAGGGAGGGGGTGTTCATAATACCTCTTTGTTGATTTTGTTGGTTTCTGCCACTCGGTCAGCCAGGATGGAGTGCTGGACGGGGGGTGCTGGGATGGGCTGCATGGCAATCAGCTGGATCTTGTTGGGAACCCGCCGGCTGGCCTCTGAGGAGCGCGATATCCTGTCCACGTGCTCAAAGATGGAGGCGGAGGAATGCTGCTCATTCCCTGAACTGGGCAAGGGGGGACCTAGCACAGAAAGAAAGAAAAACAAAGTCACCTTAAAGAAATTGAACACTCAAAATTATGGACCCTGCCTGAAACAATCCTCAGACAGATCCTCTGACTAAAACTATGTCCCCATGCTGATGGTGGCATACTTAAAATTTCTCTATTTGAACCTAAATGATATGGGTTAAACATTGTCTCTTTCAGTTTCACTAAAAATTACAAACTCTTAAGAAAGATGTGATAAAATCGTTATTATACTGTGTAAAAAATTACTGTTTTGTCTAAATATGGTTCAAATCTTCAGTTTTAAAAAAAGGGTGGGGGAGGACAGAGGGATCCTCAAGTTGCTCAGCAGGTCAACAAGCAGCTTACAGACCTTCTAGGAAAAAAGCATTTATAGCAGTTCTGAGCTGACCTAGGAAGAAGCTTCCTAGAGTGATATTAAGTGAGTACCAACAGGGTATCAGTCCCAGGACCTCTGTAGATATCAGAATCTGCAAACACTCAAGTCCCTTCCATAAAATGGCAGAGTGTTTGCATCGAATCTATGTACATCCTCCCGTATACTTTAAATGATCTCTACATTACCTAAAATACCTAATACAATGTAAGTGCTGTGTAAATATTTGCTCTACTCTATCATTATTACTACTAATAATAAGAGTCTCTACATGCTAAATACAGATGTAATTTTTTAAAAAATATTTTCCATCTATGGTTGGTTGAATGTGGAACCCACGGACACAGAGGGCTGACTACTCAATTGAGAAAATAAAAGCCAAGGGGACTGTGAACGCTCAGGTATATACTATTAAAAATTGTCTCTCTTTCCCATCTTGATAAGAAAAGTTGAAGATGCTTGAGAAGAAAAACCTGCTGCACACAGGAAATCAAAAAAAGAGAGATTAAAAAGCACTTAAAAATGGCTACTAGGGTGCTGGGCATGGTGGTATGTCTGTAATCCCAGCAGCTTGGGAGGCTGAGACAGGGAGGTGAGGTCAAAGCCAGCCTCAGCAATTTAGCAAGGCCCCTAAGCAATTTAATGAGACTCTGTCTCTAAATAAAATATTTTAGAAAGGGCTGGGGATGTGGCTCAGTGGTTGAGTGCACCTGAGTTCAATCCCTGGTACCTCCCCCCAAAAAAAATGCTAAAAGGGTAAATTTTAAAATATGACATTTTACTACAATAACTTTTACAAAAAGAATCTGTGAAATTGAAGAAATTTAAGTGTTCAAAAAAAGAAAAAAAACATTTAAAGAGACTGGATCTTGGTAAAAATGGGTGCCTTTCTTATATTTTCTGTAATGAGAATTTTCTCTAATGAGTATCTTCTGTAGTAAGAATAATCCCAATAAATTTTCAAGTTTAAAAAGGAAAAGGGAGAGAGAGAAAGAGGAAGAGGAGTTGAGCAGATGGGAAGAGCTGGCTAATGCCACGAAGATCAACAGGCCAGGCTCACCTCTTGAAATTCAGACACTGCTTTAAAAATAAATGGCCAGTAGAAGGCATGAGAGCAGGGAGACTGTGTGTGTGTGTGTGTGTGTGTGTGTGTGTGTTTAAGCCTAAGGTTTGAAACCTCAAGCAAAAGTGAAAAATGTAGAGGTTTCTCCAAGTGTAAAAAAAGATCAAGAGCAAAGCAGTGAGAAATAGAAGATGATTACATAAGGAATGTACATGGGTGGAGAGAGACTTTTGTACTTTCTCTCGATTTGAATTGTATTCACAGGTTATGCCAAGCAATTAGAAATCCTTCGTACAACTCGGAGTGAGCAGTGTCTCTTGGTGAGGAGGCCCAGCTGTCTGACCCCAGCTGTTCTGGGGCATTCTTTCTTTACTGCACACCTTCAGGCAGCCGACAGTTTGTACCTCCTTTCATCCAGTAGCAGCTACTTCAGTTGCAGGCTTACTGCCTGAAAGGAGAGGATTACTTGCCAGACATTCTAACCTTGCTGACCCAAACTTCTAAAGGGACAGCAACAAAGGGTAGCCCCTTAAGCTATTGATACCCAAAGGTGAGATCTCTCTCCCCTAGGATGGTAGAGAGCTCGGAGATGCCTTTGAGCCTCAAGCCAAAGGTGACAGAAAGAAAAGGCCTCTCCCCTTTGTTCTGTGCTCCCTGCCCAGGTTCCATGGGCTCCTGCATAGGGCCCCAGCCCTCCCCTCCCCACTGCACTTGGAGATCCTTGCTTTGTCACTCACCACCTGCAACCAGAGGAGCACAGGATGCACAGGCCGAGCTGAGGGGCCGTGCAGGAGAACAGAGTGGGAAGTAGAGAGAACCCTCCAGCTTCCACAGCTGGGTCCCAGCCCTTCAAATGGCCGAAAAGTGTTTTTTAAATTATGTATAAAAAAAGTTGTTTGCTATGCATTACACAAATTAAAAAAACAAACTCCCTAGATAATATGACCCATGGAGAGTTCAATGAACACATAAGAGAATAATGCTAAGTGGCTTCCAGCCTGAGGGGACCCACACAGTAAGGACTCTGGATTAAAACACCATTTCTTCCAACATTTCTATCATTTAAAAAAAAAACATTTTTTAATGATAGAAATTCAACTAGACAGATCATATATTATGGTGACTAAAATTAATAACAATGTGCTGTATATCTGAAAATAGCTACAAGATTAGATTTTAAGTATTCTCACCCCAAAGTAAAAAGATAAATGTGAAATAAATCTTACCATCCTACAGTGTATGCAAGTGTTAAACATCATATTAAAGTTATATACATTTATAATTTTTAAAGGAAAGAAAAAATAAATTTTAAGACAAAAAGAGAAAGAGCACAATCCTGGATCACACAGGATAAGGTCGTCCAAGCAGAATGAGAGAGGAAAGGGCATTACTGAAATGCTGAAGCACCAGCAATTGGTATGGGAATACTATTCCACTCTCTACAGATAAACACATGTACACTGCACCCTTACTACTGCTGCTGACCCTCAGTCACACACCACCAAGTGTGATCACACTTATCTCACCTTCTCCATTATACCCCAGCACCCAGCAAGCCCTGTTGCAAGCATGACCAAGTGAGTTGACAGGATGTTTCCTTGAAGAGGCCTCTGGGGATCTGCTTAGTGACAAGAGGAGAACTATATGATCTCAATCATTTCATAAATGGGGACACTCTGATACTACTCAAAAAATCTCCATGTTTTATGTAGTTGATCTGGTAAAGACTATTAATTTGCTTGGTGAACTCATTAGCATGTGCAAGAGTAAATATTGGCTTTGTTCCCACATAAGATTCCAAAACTTGGAGTTTGCGGAATTTAAATAATAAAGCTACGACTACTTAAAAGTCACACACTTACACAGATGCAACCTAATAAGGACAGCATAAAAAAAAAAACACTCAGCATTTCATAGTCCTTATCTACTTAATATAATTCTGACAATAAAGGGGCAGAGAGAGAAACTAGTCAGGCAGGGACACAGGACTGCAGCCCTGACCACACCCGGAGAATAGCTGCTGTCTCCCATACAGAGTGCACAGTACCTCCTGCACCTTCACACCCTCAATAAAGGTGGCCTCCGTGCTAATGATACGGCTGATCTTAACTGCAGATCTGCCTGTACGTCATCTCTGAAGGGTCCCTGCACGGCAGTCCCCTTCCAAACAGCTGCACAGGGAATAAAGCACAACTCAAATTTACAAAAACCAAAGAGGTCTTCTCTGAGCTTCACTGCAAGTTGCACCTCAAAATGCCAGGTAACTTGGGGTAGCCATCAAAAGCCTTGCCAAGAAGCCTAAAGAGAGCCAGTGGCTACTGAAGGGAGAGAGGCAACACTGGTCCCAGGACAGCAGTTCTCAAACAACCTCCCACCTTCATTACTTTTTAATTTCATTTGACTTACAAAAGGAGGATTTTTATGTGACATATAAGATAATTAAAAAGCTATGATATCAGCTCAGACTCTTTTTTATATTTAACAAATTTCTTTCTTTCTTTTTTTTTTTTTTTTTTTGGTACCAGGGATTGAATCCAGGGGCACTTAACCAGTGGGTCACAACCCCAGCCATTTTTAAAATATTTTTTTTAGAGACAGGGTGTCACTGAGTTGCTAAGTGCTTTACTAAGTCGCTGAGGTTGGCTTTGAACTTGTGATCCCCCTGCCTCAGCCTCCCAAGTCACTGGGATAACAGGTGTGCACCACTGTGTCCAACTTAGTTAACAAAATTCTATGCAAGCAAGAAAATACCTCTGTAGAAAGCTATCTTATGATGCCTTTCAAGGAGAAACAAAGTTTTTAAAGTGAATTGCTATTGATAGTGAGAAAACCGTCTTTCTAAAGCATGAAAATAATGCACAGACTGGTGTCCTTCCAACTATGGCAGCAGCATCTGAGCATCTGCTGCTCACAGGGACATCTGATCCACCCCCTCCATCCAGCCAGCTCTCTGTCCCCCAGCTGAAGTGCTCTCCACTTGGATTCTGAATGTGTGATGAGAGTGGTGTCTGATTCTTATAGAATTCACTGGTTGTGACACTCTAGGAAGGAGTTAAGTGCAGGAACTAATAGCAAGATTTTCTGAGGTAAGCAATCAACAGAAATTGAGGAAATTTAGAGCTCTTTGATTTCTCCCCCCAAATGTTTCTTTCACAGAATCAAAACTAGATTTTAATCCCTTCTGAAATACAGCACATGTTATCATGGTGCTAAATAATTTTTAAGATTCTGAAAAACTGAATCCAAAGGAAAAAAATCTCTTCCCTTATTCTGGGGCGGGGGCGGTATTTCTTTAACATTATACGAAAACCAGCTGATAGGCATCTCAAGGATTGGCTGCTTTAGTCCCACAGGAGCCTCAGGGCCTAAGGGACCTGCAAAGTCACAGACATATCAGAGATAGCAGAGGCCCTTGGGCTTCCATCCAGAATCTGTTCATCTACCAATGCAGATCACTCTGTGCTGCATTTTCATACAGAAAAACACGTGATTTTAAAAATATAAAAATTACTATTGAAAATAGTAGCCTGAGGCTTCCCAGTCATCTCTGCATTTCTGAAACACAACAATAAAATACAAATAAATCTCCAGGCAAGACAGAAGCTGAATGGGCACATGTATTTAACAGAATCAATTAAACTAAAGTCAAGCTGCCTTGCCATCATTCCAAAAACTGCTCTCATGGCTGGGAAGGCCTCTGGGCACAGGTTCCAACAGGCATGAGTCTCATGGCACTTCCAACAGGCACTGCCCCTTGGAATGGGAAGGAAATTCACTCCATCCCTGGTCTCCAAAGCTCTATCTGACTCCTAGTACAGGGACACTAAAACGGAGTCTGATCATACAAAAGGTCGAGGCACCGGACAAACGAAACAGACAGGGACAGCTGTGAAATCCTCGAATCCTAAGAAAGTCACTGAATTCTGGGGACACTTTTTTGACTATGATTTCTGTGCAGTTCCTCCTTCTTGTCCTTCAGGCAGGAAAATTGCCTCCCTTGCCTCAAAGCAGACGCCACTGTAATGTTCAGAGGTGACAATTAATGCTGAGAACTGCACCCCATTTCACGGGTCTTTTTTAAAGGCTCAGCATTTGAAGTAGGGTCACACCCTGGCCTGCGGGAACCTCACGACTCCCTGTAACGTGGAGGAGGAGGAGAGTCACAGACCGCTCTGTGGGGCTCTGTGGGCCTTGCTCTCGTGGACCGCTGCTGGCGTCTTGTCCCCCACGTCCCTCTCACTGGACTCCTCGCTGACGGTGGAGTCGGCATCCGAGGGGGAGACTCTGCAGGCACAGAACAAATTGCAAACATCAGAAGCAAGAAGGAACAAAAGAAAAAGGTCACATTAATTCAGTCATGGAAATCAGGCTTCCAGGCAAAAGCGGGAGAGAGGAAACCGTCCGAGGACCAGGACAACACTATTCAGTCACCATGTGCTGAAGACGAGGGATATGTTTACTAACTGGCTTGGAGATTGCAATTCAACAAAGGCTCGAAATAAGTGCCACAGTGGAGGACAGTCCCACAGCTACTGAGGCCTACGACTAGCTCCTGGCCCTGGGTCAGTTCTAGACAGGCAATCTGGGTCTAACACAAGTTGGATCAAAGAGCATCTGGGGTTTGGGCCTGCTTTAGGGTCCACTGGGGCTAAGAATCCCTAGGAGGCCAGGGTAGTTCTGCAGCTGCCTCAGTTGACTCTAGAGTATGTAAGACTCCTAAACTCACAACAGCAGGATGACAAGCGCTACTGAGATTGGTTCTAAATACAAAAAATCAAGGGTATCACAGCACCCAGGCTGCCCCAGGCTGGGGAAAATCCTTAACCAGTTAGCACACTGCCTCTGTGGGCTCCCTGGCTTCTACCACAACATGAAGTGTCAAGACATTCTGGTGCCCCGAGGGATGCTAAGGTATACTCTCGCCCCTCAGTATCATGGGACGTTGCTTATAGAATCCCCACGGACACCAAAATCCATGGTACTCAAGTCCTTGACATCAAATGACACAAATCTATATCAAACCTATGCACATCCTAAGTTATCCATAATCCCTCTTACAATGTAAATGCTATATAAATAGTTGTCATACTAGATTTTTGGGGGGGAAATGATGATATGAAAGGAAAGCCTGTACAAGTTCAATACAGATGCAGTATTTTTTCCTGAATATTTTTTTCCTGAGTACTTTTGATTCACATTAGTTTGAATCCATGGCTATAAAGCAACTGAGATGATAGGACTAGAAGTTTATGGGGAGAAAAAAATATCCTGCCAAGCTTTAATAGTATATTAAATCATTTTTAATAATTCAATTCATTCTTAGCCTAGAAAATAATTAAGCAAGTAGCATGTCTCTGCATAATTCATTTTCTCTCACAAAGATCATGCACTTACATCCGTTACATTTTTATAACCAGGTCAGACACCTGGGGTGGGTTTTCTGATCAGATGGAAATGATGGCATTGTTTTGAATGTTAGTGTGCCCACACACATTTTCACTCCCCGCAGCTAATTGGGAGTTACAGTCCGAAGCTCAGAGGCCAGCTGGTAATCTGAGGCGTCAGTAGCCAAGTCCTGGTGGTGCTGTGACCTCAAGTCAGTCCCATAAAACCTGAGTGTGAACTTGGTCTCCTGTTACATGACTCCAGCCCATCTCACAGGATCAGAGGGCAGCCATGGACTTACTGGTAGTTTGGAAAATTAAGTAATGCTCCATATGCTTGATTGATTGATTGATTGATTGATTGATTGATTGATTGATAGGAGGTATCAGAAATAGGAATGGTGAGCTGTGGAGAGTCCTGTGCATTGTGCTAACAAAGGGGACAGCGTGGGAAGCTGGAGAAAAGCAAAACTCACTGGAGGACGTGATGAGGGTCACCTGCAGACAAAGCAGTGATGCAAGAGCAAAGAAGCCTGTGCTGGCCAAGTATGTAGGATGGGCTGTGCGCTTTGCGCTTTGTATCCATCCTTTGCTGATGATCACCAGAAATGCCTCCCACGCTTACCTAGAACAGACACACTGGAGTTGGCCTGTCCCTAATCCAATCTGAGGCCACTACTGCCAAAGTGTCACAGGTGGTGATTCCTAACCTTGAATAACCTGAGGAAATAATTGCACATCCTCCTTTGTAACCCTGCGGAGCAGCCGAGAGCACTCCCAAGTCCGTGTGTGCCTCTGGGCAAGTCATCAGGATCCGAGGCTTCAGACACTGGGCAATACTCACCCTCAGCCCTGCTGAGACTGGCAATGGACAACCTGAGAACAGAAACACGCTCTGCAACAGAGAACAATCCAGAAAGCCCAATAATAACCTTCCTCTGTGGCGGACGTTCTTGGCAGGGATCTTCGACTTGGGGCTTGGCACGTCTCCATTTTCAGAGGGCGTGGTGTGGTCCTTCACAGGTCCTGGCAGTGGTGCTGGCTCATGAATAATCAAGATGTCATCTTTATTGTGCTGACCCAGATGCTGCTTAGCAAAATCGAAGCCCTTCACGCTAGGGATCTGCAGCTAAAACACACACACACACACACACAGGCAGACACACAATCAAGGTGGTTACTGTGAAATCTGAGCACTGTGAAGAGAGGTTACGAGGGCTTGACAAGACGAGCACGACCCCAACCCAAGACTGTGCCACCCATGCCACCGACCCAAGACTGTGCCACCCATGCCACCGACCCAACCCTACAAGCGTCTCTATGACATGGACTGGGTACAAGGTTCTGTTTATTCCTAGAATTTGTGACAGATGCCAGCAAAGGATTAAACAAGAGAACAAGGATTAAATAGCTAGACTGTAATAGAAAAGCCATTCCAACACAGCACCTGCCCCCTTGTCACAGTGGACTAGCAAGAGAGAAAGACAAGGTGACACACTCTTCATAGGGAAAGAGAGACTTAAGCTAGGCCCTGAGGACAGGCAAAACTACAAAGAGCAGGTTCCTGATTATGTCAGGGCCAGAGAATCCTGAGGCCCAAAGAGGTGACATCAGCTGCTCTAGAGGGGCCAGGATGTAGAGCGGGAGAAGGAGAGAAGACAATCTGCGAACACACGTCCCCAAGTGCCAGCTCCTGGGCAATCAGGAGACCACTAAATGTTCTAAGATCCAAGCACAAGGACCCAGGGGACTAGCAAGAGGGCCCCGTGATGCCACGTGCATGAGACCACGTGGCTTGAGCCAAAATCTTTGCCAAGAAAATGGGAAGGGCTAGGTAGCAGCAGGATGCAGAAGGAAGGGGATGGAAACCAGACGGACACAAGAGACGAAGGGAGAGCAAACAGACCTGTGATGGCCGGAAGTTTCAGACAGGCCATCCCAAACGGCAGAGGCAAGCGGCGAGTCCTACCGGAATGACGACGGAGGGGATAAAACCACGCGCCTCAAACGGGCTAAGCGGAGATGGCAGGAAGGTCCCAGAGGGAAGCAGCTCGGTGCAGCGGGAGACAGAGGGCAGTGGCTTAGGGACTCGTGGGCTGAGAGGGAACGCTGAACGCCACCTGTCCGGAGGTGGCATGCAGGGGAGCTGGGGCCTTTCAAAATGAACCCAGGCTCTACAGATACAGAGTTGGAGAACATCTCCTAGTGTGCGGCTAAGAGAGAAGGAAGCAGGCAAGAAAACAGAAGGTGGCTTCCGAAAAAGAGAAGAATTTGGAAAGTTCAGTGGAATCGAAGCCAAAAAGTAAAGAATCTCCAGAAAGGAATGGTCGACAGAAGTAATGGGAGCACAAAGCTGAAGGAGGATGGGGTCTTCAGGAAGAGTCCACACTCACACTGGTGGGGGCAGGAGCACCCCCCCCCAGGCATATGATAACAACGGACCCAAAACCTACAACAGACCCCTGAGCCCACCCCTCAGATCCAAGCCTCAGTTTCTGGGCCTGTGATGAGGTAGGAAGGGCATCTGAGGTACCCAGAGATGCTTTCTTTTTCAGGGCTGCAGATGGAACTTTGCCTCGAGCAATCCAGGCAAGCGCTCTACCACTGAGTCGCACCCCTAGGCCCAGGGCACCATTTTTGATGACCCTATTTTCATGATACTCAAAGAGCCACCAGGATTATAGGGAAACAAACTGCCTGAAGAGTCACCCTGAGCAGTGTCCTCAGCAGGAACACCACAGGCAAAACAAAGTCCTCCTGGGCAGACTATCCACACCTGCAGATAGTCCTAGCAGTCAAACGACCGTCCAAGTCTCCGGAGTGATTTTAGACAATATACTACAAGTAGAAGCAAAAAGTTTTGTCATATTTGTGTTAACTTTAAGCACACCAGTGGCTTAGGGGTGTCACCTAATGTCTTTGGTTCCTGGGGGTTGAACTCAGGGACACTTTTGTAGAGAGCTACATTCCCTGTTCTTGTTTTTATTTTGAGATAGGGTCTTCCTAAGTTGCTGTGGTCTTACTAAATCGCTGAGGCCAACCTGCAACTTGTGACCCTCCTGTCTCAGTCTCTGGAGTGGCTGGGATTACAAGCATGCATGCACGGCTTCTAATGCTAGAAATCTAGGATCAACTGTAGAAAGAAAGCGGTCTGCAATAACGTTCTCTGCCAGCAGAGGGTGACAAAACTTACTGTAAAGAGAGTTTACAAAGAGTTGCTTGGAAACAAAAGGCGCAAAGACTGACAGCCCGCATTCTATAATTAATAAGATCCTGTTACAAGACAGGCCCTGGGCACCACACGCCTAGGCTCAGGAGCACTGCTTTGCAAACCATGAACCCAGACCTACCACTCCACAGCCTCCTCCGCCCCCATAAATTATATTCTTCATCCAGGAAACTGGGTTAGCACAGCAATCTTGAATTGGTCTACCAGGGGACCCCTGCGGTGGACAAACGTTTCCCTAGGAGCAGGATTCCCTTCTATCCTACCTCACAGGAGAGACCCCCGCCTCTAACCCCCACAGGAGCTTCCTGGGGTGCTCTGTGTAGAGGTGAGAACATCAAATGAAAAGACAACAGGGTGCTTGGCAGATCCCTTTCACTGAATCACAATAAACCTGTGGCACAGCTGCCTCATCCCCATCTTGTATGTATTTCTTTAAGGGAGAAATGCAGACAAGAAACAGCATCATCAATCCATGTCCAGGATGCTCTGAATTCAGACATTCTGCAGAGGGGGCCGCAGGTTGCTTCTATTTAACAACGTCACCTCGAGCACCTCCTAACCATCAAAGATGCCTCCCTCCAGTGGAGGAATCAATGAGAACCAAAAGGACAGCAGGAAGAACTCCTGAGGCACTGTCTCATTTTGTCCCAGGGACAAGCTCACGGCCAGGCCCTGTGTTTTATGTGTGTAGCTCAGAAGAGGATGGTCAAGATCTATTCAACCTTCTGCAGGGAAATACAGAAGCGCCCTGGGGTACATGCTGACCACAGCTCACGGTCCTCAGCAACTAAAGAGCTCCCAGCACCTGTGCACAGGCTTTCCGGGTCCTAATGCTGTGTTTTGCATCAAAAGACAAAGGAGTGAAAATTTCCACATTCATGTCTGAAAGATCAAAATTACAATTTCAAACTTAAAAAAAAAAAAATCAGTAGAGCTAAGATAAGGCTGTACACCTTCCTGAGCGTTTATTCAGACTTGCAGGTTAAATTTTCATTAACTTCTTTCAAACAACTAGTGGATACTGTGTTCAGCTCACCAGTGCAAGTCTCTTGTTCACTGAGCCTCGTGATCCCTCCCTGCTTGTTTGACATGCCTGTGTGCTCATTTAGATTAACTACACAGCACTGTGTTTGGATTCATAAATAATGTACTTAGCAGCCATCAGCTACATGCCTTTTGGAAACCCAACAGTTACCACCAGTCTAATGCTTTTTCCTCACATGCTGTGAATTTCCATAAAGATTCAACTGTACTCTTAAAAGTGAAGCATCTATCTATGGGTGTATAGATACATAATAGATAAAGAGGAAAAATTAGGAAAGCCAGAAGTTAACTTCTAAACTTTAAAAAATCTAGTCCATTGATTAGGATGGAGTTCCCTCTCTTGGGCTTTGAAATATCCTAATTTATGAAATACATAATTATAAATATTGCTTTCATCTTGAAATGAAAGTACAAATCCACCTATATAATTCCTGAGCGTCCATCTGGCGAGCCTTTTTAAGATAGCCAGAAAATTGAAATTTGACACCGATTGCTCATAGCTGATGATAAAAATCCTAACGTGGGCTTGGGATTTTATGGGGTTGCTTTACTCCAGCTACACCTCCTTTTATCTCCTGAAACAAAGTGCTCCTAAGCAAAAGAGTAACAGCATCAGCAGTCATCCACCCGCCACTGCCATCATTTCATAAATCTTGCTAAAATCCTTTTTGGTATATTTCCCAGTAAGAAAGTGCGTGCCTCTAAGAACTGGGCAACAATCTCTTTTACACATTCCGGGGTTTGCTGTAACAAAGCAAGGGCCTCCGAGGGGACTGATGTAAAACACAAACAGTGCTGGTCTCTGCGTGCTGCATGCACAGCCCCAGTGTAGGCTCTAAACGCCTTCCCTGAGAATCCGCCAGGCAAGTTCAAGGAGCAACCATGAAAATAGACGTGAAGATACTTCGTAAATGCCAAAGTGCCAGGCGAGTGAGACTGACAGCATTATTATAGCTGTTGGTTGATGAAACGTCAAGTCGTTAAGGTAAACAGTTGAGTCCTCAGGTACCAGATGGTTACAGACATAAATTTGGATATAATGTTTTGTTAGGTCAGCAACAGGACGTGACACAGGACAGACCCTCAATAAATATTTGATGACTTAATGAACTTTAGAAAGGACAGCTGAAGCACCAAACTTTCTGAATTTTATGAGGAATCAAGAAAAGGTTATGTGTCATAAATGAAGTATACAAATCCCATTGGCTTACTGTCGAATCCAGCTGACATTTTTAAATATATCCGTTAGATCCTTGCACTTTTCACCAGCTGGGCAAGTCACCATCTTCAATGACAACAGAAATGGGACAACTAATCCATACTTATACACAAAAGCCATCCTCACACAGAAGGAAAAAATTAAGAGGAGACACACACACATACCCAGTATGGTACTCACTCCTTTTGTTTCAACCCTATTTTCTGGATCATTGTACCTAGTTTTTTCATTTCTTTTTTTTTTTTTTTAAGAATCTGGAGTTCAGTCTGGCTGGCACTGCATGCCCAGCCTCACATACCAAACAGGCTCCACTCCATGTTTTATAAAAGAGGAGTGGAAATTAATTAGTCTTCAATATGCATGTTAGGGCTCGGCTCTTTCTGAAGAAGGAAGGCTCTTATTCTTTCTTTCTTTCCTATTTTATGGAGGGAACAAGCCACATTGTCTGTGCCCCACTGGAACACATCACCAAGGAGTCAGGGAGGTCTGGTGGAGCAGGTCAGCCAAACAGTGAGATGCCTGTGAATCTCAAGACACGTGGGTCATAAATATAATAAGACCCAGATGTAACAAGACACAGTGAAGTCCCCAGTGCTTGGGTTAGCCTGTCCCCCTGGGAAGGGGCAGTTAAGATGACAATAGAAACCACAGAGCAAATCCCAAAAGTGTCTGAATAAAAATTTGCAATCATGTAGAGAGTGCCATTGCAAACATTGGTTATTTGACTTATATAATTTGAAAAAAAAAAAAACCTAACCACCATGCTGTTTCCACTTAGAAGGCAAAGCTGTTGCCATCTGTTTGTCTTCAGCGTAGCCAGCATGGGGCCATGGAAACCCTGGGCCTAGGAATTGTTGGACAGCACCCAAGAGTCTCCCACCCAAGCCCAGGACAGGTCACACTCAGCTGGTGGGGTGAACTGAGTACCTGTGCACAGACTCCAGGCCGCCGTGGGGCACGGGCTGACCAGCAGGAGGGAAGCAGCCCTCAGCCAGCTCCTCCTCAGGTCACTCACTCTACACTGCTTCCCAAGAGACCTCAGCTAACAGGAGCTTGTCCAAGCTGCTGGTCCTGCTGAGAGCCCTGAAGTCACTGCCGACTGTCTATGGTACCTGGTACCTTTTAGAGTCCCTCCATGTCCTGAAGCCCCCCAGCCTTGACTGCACCACCTGGGTCTGAGTGGCTTTGGGCTGTGCCTTTCCTTACAACTTTGCTCCGGCTTGCCTGAGCTGCTCATATTCCTTCTGCAGCCATGTCACCTCTGTCACCTCTCAGCTGCAGCCCAGCGTCACCTGCTCACAAAGGCAGAGGCAGCCACCTGCTGGAGTGGTCCCTCTACAGGACCTGCTTGTACTGTCGTGTGTCAGCTTTTGGGAGACTGCTCCTCTCCCTCACCAAGGCCCTGGAAGGCAGTGATGACATGTTATTTGTGTGTGTAACTTAGCCTGGCCCGCCTGGCCCAGAAGTTTGGTGAGTGTACAGTTATGGTCTGGGGCAGCTCCCTCAGGCAGCCCCCAGTGCAGACCTTAGGAGCAACCCAGGTGCCAATCACTCAGGAGCTAGGATCTGGGCAATAACTAGGATCTGAGCTAATAACTGGGTGTGGCTTGTCCCCATCAGAAGGAACAAGTTTCCCTGAGGCCCTGCAGCATCTAGCCAATGCCATTCAGGGTGGAGAGGATCTGAGCAGCAGCTTTTCAGGTGGTAGTGATAAATGATGACTTAGGACTACAGATTAAAGAGATTACAGATCAAGGACAGTTACATGCATTTTTCCCTTTATTATTAGAAATAAGAAAGGGCCCTGCCTCAAAACACCACAGAACAGCCTCTCCCTGTTATCATATTTCAAAAATAACCTACTCCCAGACAATCTGAAGAGGTCATCTTCTCATTATAGGGGAAGGGGGTGTGGATTGTAGATCAATAGATTTATTGTCTCCAGATGTTTGCAGTTCTGGGATTCGCTGGAAGACTCTGGAGAGCTGGAGCAATGGCCGAGTGAGTAGAATGGAGAGAGAAAACAGAAGGCCACGGGAAAAGGAACTTGAAGTACCAGGGCAGGAGAGTGCCCCGCAGGTCACCCAAGAAACAGGCTATGGCCATACAGGCTTAGAAGGAGCACCAAGGAGGTAGACAGGTTTGTTTTCAAACTAAAGGAAGGTCATGGTTCCCTTCTTGCAAATCCATGACCATATCGGCAAGGTGGGTCCTTATGCCAGCAAAACAAGACCCACGGCCTGGCCTCCCGACAGCCTGTGCTGGCTGCGACGGTTCTCCCCGGCTCCTCCCTGCAGAGGACCCTTGTCACAACAAGGCTGGCGACATGGATTGCACGTCCTCACACCACCTTGAAGGGACAGAGCAGCCCCCAGGGCCAGAAGTTCTACCTGAAACTCTGTCCACTTGATTCACAATGTGGTCTGACACAGGAAAGTATTTCAGAAGTAAAATGAGAGAAGGAGAAAGCTGGGGGACTATTCTTTTTTTAACCCAAGATGCGCTGACCTCTCAGTTTCTTGAAGTAACAGAGAACGGTGGGTTTCCACAAGGAGTACGTGCGTCAGGAGATATGGACCAGGAAAGACCTACACACACAGCTCTGCTGCTGAAACTTCCCCATTATAATCCTTTTATGAGAACAACACCTCCCAAACCATTGCTGAACTTATTACAATGAAATTCACACTATGAATCATTCAGGTGCCGTGTGTTTTTTCCATGCCATTCACTGGTATAACAACAGAGCAACCCAAGCAGACCATGTAAATAATACATGGAGATGAGTGGAAATATAACATTTACATATGAAATGATTCTAACATAGCCATAGCTTGATATCTAATTAAGATTTTGCATTTTTTGCTGAACTCATAAGGGAAAAAATGGACTATTTTCATTCACTTTTACAAAACTAAAATAAAATTTAAAATAAAACCTGTTTTTTTCTTTCAGCAGGTCAAGGTTTACAAGAGGCAGAACTACACTGAGATCATCAGAATGAAGTTAAAAGCTTCTCTTATTCCTTGTTCTTTTGCCTTTTGCTTGCCTGTTTTTAATCAGAAGAATAAGTACCATCAAAGTGGAGTGAGTCCTCTAAATTTGTGAGATCCACAGAGGGTAAAAGTTAATACAGTAGACTGACCACCACCTTCCACTCCCTTTACACATGGATATTCATGCTGAGGTGAATGTCTGTGGTGAGTTCTTCCCTAGGACTCTGGCATATGAGCCAGACACTGACCCAAAGTCAATTTCTTTGCTCTGAAACCTGATGTGACTATGAAGATAGTATAGAACACCGCTGAAACATACATGTAAAAAGAGAATTGCTATTTCTATGAAAACTAAGTTGAGTGCTTTGGAAAAGACACATGTAAAATGGGCTGCTAAAAAAAATTGCTGTCGAACTAGGTGTAGGCGAATCAACTTTAAAAAACTGCAAAGTGGGGTGGGGGGGTGGAGGGAGGCATCAAAAAAAAATCAAGAAATTCTGCACTCAGATTGCCTTGCTCTTCTCAAAGAAAACCAAATTGGAAACCACAGCTGATACATTATGGGTATTGTTTATTGCAAGAAAAATCATATAGTATTGCTCTCAGCAGACCAACACTCAGAACAACAACAACAAAAAGAACTGATAACACTGAAAGAATACCAAATAAATGTCTGCTCGTATATTTGAAGTTAGAAGTTTAAGGCATGTATTTACAATTCTGAATGATGGAGTGGATAGATGGGCATCCAACATGGCGGACAGAGAATGAAGGAGCTGACTGGTGGAGTTGTGTATGAAAGAAAAGATACATCATCGATGTGAGAAAAATTTCCTTGGCCCCTCTTCTCTGAAAATATCCAAGGGTGAAAGAGATCCAAATTCATACAAAGGATAGACATGATCCTCAACTGAAAAGATCTTCAAATGACTCGGGATGAATATGATCTTCCACTGACTCTCAAAAATGAAACCACGGAGCTCACTTCACCTCTGAGCCTCTGCAGCCTCACCTTCCTGGAATGTGTCCACTACAGAAGAACTGGGCTTTGGGTTATTCAGACTCGAAGGCAGAGGACACCAGTCCTGAGCCAGAAGATGCCTTTAATAGCTCTCTCCCACCTTTCAGTATCTAGAGCCTGGACCCATCTCTGTCCCACAAGGTTGCCCAAGTGATCCCAACCCTTACCTTCTGCCGCTGCTGAATGTTGGCCACAGTGTCAGGCTGAAAGTCCAGCTTGTCCGTGCGGCAGAGCTTCCAGTAGAGGATGACGATGATCACCATCACCACCAGCACCGGGATGACCACGCCAACAGTGACCCACAGGTTGCTGCTCTGGGACTCCGGAGATGGCCTCTTCACCCTGTCCAGAGCTGTGGATAGGAAGACAGTCTCTCAATAATGCCTTCTTAGCCCATACACCGGACTGCATGTGACTTCCTCCACCAGGAACTCATAAAGTCCCCAGACCTTCTACTCAAGACAGTAAGTTATAACTTCCCAATGACAGGAACCATGAGCAGGCAACATGACAAGCCCCCTGCAGGGGACATCAGCAATCACGATGACACATTGGAGGTTTCCAAAGGCCTGGGGCTAATTCAATGGCAAAGCTCAGTTGGTTCTAGGTCTCCTGACTTCTAGTTTATTAGCTCATCTCTGAATTCTCATGGCAGTACATTTCCAAAAATGGTTCTGTAAAACTTTGATCAAAAGTGAAAAGCAGGGTTGAGGCTATAGCTCAGTGGCAAACGTTTGCCGTGCACATGTGAGGCACTGGGTTCGATCCTCAGCACCACATAAAAATAAATAAATCAATATTTTTTCAAAGAGAGTGAAAAGCAGCTGCTTATTCAGAACACTGCTGTGCCCACAGAACTGGCACAGCTGGAATTCACACCCTCCCAGGTCTCAAGAGAACACAGGAGCCCAACTAGGAGGCTCCCCATCTCTTGCTACTCAATAACTTTTTCCACTTTTTCTCAAATTTTATTTATTTATTTATTTAGTATGAGGGATTGAACCCAGGAACACTTCACCATTGAGCTACATCCTAGCACTATTTATTTATTTATTTATTTATTTATTTTGAGACAGGGTTTTGCTAAGTTACCCAGGCCGGCCTCAAACTTGCCATCCTCCTGCCTCAGCCTCCTGAGCTATCACAGGCATGCACCCCAGCATCTGGCTCCACAAGTGCTTATTACATGTGCCAGATGCAGTTCTAGAGGAGGACACAAGGATGGACAGGAAGACAAAGCCCCCAAGGAGCACAGGTTCAATCAAGTAAATGAATTGTGAAATAATGTCATGTACTAGGAGTGCCGTGTAGCGAGAGAAATAACTCATGAGACCCAGCAAGAGCACACAGGCCCATGGTAACTTCTCCTTCAGCGACTGAAAGGTGATACAGACGGTGCTGTTCATAGTGGTATCAATCATGACAGCCACAGGAGGAAACAACCCAAATACCCATCAACAGGTGAATGGATAAGCAAAATGTGGAACGTTGATACAGTGAATATCATCAACTGTTCAAAAGGAAGGGGAGCTGGCCCACGCTACAACTGGATGAACCGTGAAGACACGCCAAGTGAAAGAGGTCAGGCCCCAAAAGCTGAATGTCGTGATTCCACCCAAAATGAGGCTAGTTTATAGAGACAGAAGAACAGAGCTTGCCGAGGATGGGGGTGGCAAATGAGGAGGGATTATTTAACGAGTAGAGTTTCTGTTTGGGATAATCAAAGAGCTCTGGAAATGGGTAATGGAGATGGTTATGAACACTATGAATCTAGTTAAAGTCATTGAATTATACACTTAAATATGGTGAAAATGCAGGACTGGGGAATGTGGCTCCGTGGTAAGGACTTGTCTAGCATGCACAGGGCCCTGGGCTCAATCCCCAGCACCAAGAGAAAAAAAAAAAAATGGTAAATTTTCTTCTACGTATATGTTACCATGAATTTTTAAAAATGATAAAGATGATTCTCAAATTTTTCTAAGGTGTGCACCACTGTGTTTGGAAACTGAAGCCTTAACACATGGTTATGCTGCCGCCTTTACTTCCTCATCTGGGACCCTCCCTGAACCCTTGGGTCTTCATTAAAACTCCTTTATTTAAGCTCTCAAGTGTCAATTTTTGAAATCATATTCAAGTAAATCTTACGCTTTGAATGTGCCACTCCTCGCCCATGTCGTGCCCACCCACCCTACCTCAGCCCCCTCTTCTTTCACACCTTGGACCATCACACTTCAACTCCCCTGGACCCCCAGTTTCCCTCAGTGGCTCCTTGCCTGACCCAGACTATGCTCAATGCTTCTTCCACTCAGATCCAGTCACTTTTGGAAACCCAAATGCCCACCCCTCTCACCCCAGAGAGCTGCCTCCTAAGGACCTCCCCATGAGGACACTAATCTCTCCCTGGTCTAAGTTCTTTTCTTCTTGTTGTCTTTGTTTTGCAAATGGTGCCTCATTATTCTTTTAAAATGCCTCTTATTATATAAAGGTACCAGCTTAATACACTGCACACTCTGCTCTTCAATCTGGCCAGGGTCTTAGTCTTGTCTTTTCAAATCCATCTTAGTAGACATGGGCAGGGACTGAGTCCTAGGCTCCTTCATATCATATAACGGCTAATACCTGTGGTGGGATCTAAAAGTATCTGCTCAAAGATGTAATAACAAAAGATTCCTGGGGTAGGTTTATGTTTGGGTTAGACCCCTGACAGCAACAGGGAGGGAGCAAACATTCTAAATCAGATGGACTATGAAAAAGGCCACGGCAGAGCAGACACTGCAGGTGACGTGGGGAAAGTAACAATGGGTCAAAACTTTGGATTTTAAGATTTAATGTAAATATAATTTCTATACGTAGCTCACTTTGCATGAAAACAACTGACAACAGAGAAGCAATGTCAGCATCTACCAAGGAGCTGAGAGATCTGGACACTCCTCTGAGCTCCAGCCTGGTAAACCACTGGAGAGGCAGAGGCTGAGCAAAGCCACGTCGACATCAGTGTCCCAAGGCCCCTGGGCTGGCCCTGGCTTCAGCTGAGGCCTCCTTCACCAACTCTGAAATCCCAGGACTGGGGGGAAGGAGAGGCCCAAGACCAGACGGAGGAAGGCCTAAAAGGTGTGGTATCCTGTTGCACTCAACCTTGTTTAAAATGCTAAGTGCATGAGCTGCCCCTCCTGCCACCACCAATGTCGCATGTAAAGCCACGTCAGCAAGTGCTTTTGCTCCCATTTTCTCACTGCCTTGAAACAGAAGGCCCTAGCATGCAGTCACATCTCAGGTGTGCCAGCACAGCCTGCCCGTGTTACGGCTCACTCTGTCCCACCATCTTCCATCAAATGGAAAATGTGCGTCCAGAGCCCTGTCCTGGTTAGTATCCAGGGACAAGATAGACTTCACAAAGAACCTGATGCTACCAAGGACAATTTCAAAGCCATCACTTTTTGAAACTGCTCTGCCTCCCATCTACACTCTCTAAGGAGTTTTTCGGCATCCTCTGGTGCTAAAACACTTCCTGATGGCTTTAGTGCCAGAGCAAATCTCCCCAAGCTCTTAAAAGGACTCTCTGGATCACAGAGGAAAAACATCCCCACTAAAAGAGTCTGATTTGTAAAGGCCTATTTGGAAAACAGACCTCTCCCTTTTTTTGCCTCTCCTTTTCCTTCATTTTAAATATGTACCCAAAATCTGAGAGTTGGAAAAGGGACACCATGAACAGGCACGGCCAGGGAGCAGGGGCCAAGGACTTTCCAACAAAAACAAAGATCAAAATACCTCTTTCTACACTGTGGAGTGGTGTGAGGATAGGGTGGGAGAGAGACAGGATTGAAAAGGGTAAGGATCAAGGACTTCTTTGTGTTGAAAGACCCTGAAAGGAGCCAACAAATCCAGAGGGCACCTCCCTGCTTCCTGCGTGACTCACGGTCCCCACCAATGTTCAGAACATGACATAGGAGATTTTGGAATAATAACAAAACAAGCACACGAATTTGCCTAAGACAAAATTTTTAAAAAGAGAGACAGCACAGGAGAAGGGAGAAGGACATGAGCATTGATGTAAGGTGCCGTAACCCACTCCAACACCAGGAAGAGGAAATAGGCAAAGCGGCAGTACCCGCCACAACTAGAAGACCCCAGAATCTAAAACAAAGGGGGTCTCGGCAAATGAGCTTTGACAACTGGCATCTTATATAAGTGTCAATTCAAAATAAGGGCTTAAGACACAAAATCGACTGCCCCACATTGGAGCTTATGTCGAGAGAAGCCTGGTCTGGGGCCCCAACACAGTTGGGACTTACGCTGGGCAATAGCGCCTTGGATTCGGTACCCCAAGATAATCGCAGCTCTCTGCAGGTCTATCTTGTTAATCAGATCTGAAGACTTGACGGCACTGAGTCTCTCCCCGTCTTGATCCTCCACAAAGTAGATGAGCTGCACGGGATTGTCATCTCCCTCCAGCCTGGACACATTGACCACCTGAGAGAACAGAATCCATCAGCATTGCAGAAGCTCACGTTTCTATCCTCAGGCCACCTACCCCTGACTGTGACCCAGGAATTTACTCCTCACAACAAGCCCCTGCCGCTGCCCAGAGCCCCACATCACCAAGGTGCTCTCTCTTGATGGGAAGAGGGAGTAAAATGTAAGTTCCTCCGTGCAGAATGTCAAGTGTACTTTGTTGTGCTCAGTATCTCTGAGATACGCAGGACTCAGGGCTTACAAACCCTGGCAGTCCAGAAGTGTTGCCAACAAGTTCCAACAGGCTCACCAAGCCATGGGGGCCACTCCTGACCTTCCTGTGAAGTCCCTTCTTGAGTCAACTAGCATTCCCTCCTCTCAACCTCAGCACTATCGACACTTGGGGCCAGTATTCTAGGTTGGTTAGCAACATCCCTGCCCTCTACCCACCAGATGCCAGTAGCAACTGACTCTTGGCCTCCACCACACAAAGTGACAATCAAAAATGTCTCCAGACATCGCCAAATGTTCCCTGGAGTGGGAGTGGGGCAAAAGCACCATCCACTGAGAACTGCTCATTTAAGAATAATAAACCTTGTAAATTTGTGATTTTCCATATCAAATAAAACCTGGACATGTCCCAAAACCTAACTTCCTCTGTGTCCTAGGACAGCCCCTTCCCATCCATACTTGAGCATCTTGTCCACTTGAGGTATCAGGGTATTGCACTCATACAGGTTTGTTTCATTGCTATTTCTGTTAATAATGTGCAACTATTTTATTGCCCTCCTAGCCTTCAGCAAAGCACTAGGTTCCTATCCTGAGAAAAAGTTCAGTGAGGGCCTTGTTTTACTCGTGCACTTTGAATTTTTGCTCTGTACTTTTGCCGTTGCTAAAATGCAGCTGCTACTTCTCTATCCACGTGTGTGGCTTTGTGACATTGTCCTATGCTCTGGGTACCACAGCTGGACTCCTTCACCTTGGGAAACTTCTGAAAAACCAATGATTTCATGATTTCACTGAAAATTCCTTTCTCTAAATCATCTCCAAAGATCCTTAACAACCTGGGTCCAAACTCTCACCCTCTAAGAACATCTGTTAACGGCTGGGGCTGTAGCTTAGTGGCAAAGTGCTTGCCTAGCACATGTGAGGTCCTGGATTCAATCCTCAGCAACCACATAAAAATAAACAAATAAAATAAATAAAGGCATGCTGTCCATCTACAACTAACAAAAGAAATTTTGAAAAAAGAACATTCATCCTATTTGATCCTGAGAAGACTTGTCTGTCCTGCCCTCTGCCTGCTGTCTGGAGGCCTGCTGACGGAGCACATCTCCCCTGTCACCTCCTCCTTCCCAATGACCATGCTGTGGTGATTGACTTTTTATTAGCCTGGAGTATGGAATGCTATCAAAGGGCTGCAGAAAACCATGCAGATTAGGTCCACCTGTCCCTCTTCTCTATATGCATACATAACCTATATAAAAGTTTGATAAGGGGCCCGGGTTGTGGCTCAGTGGCAGAGCACTTGCCTAGCACGTGTGAAGCACTGGGTTGGATCCCCAATACCACATAAAAATAAAAATAAATAAGAGTATTGTGTCCATCTACAACTAAAAAGAAAACTTTAAAAAAAAAAAAAAAGCTTGATGAATTTAGCATGATTTCTTCTTGTAGAAGAATGTCCAGGGATGTCCAAATGTCCAGTGGTGCCACCCTGATTAAAGCCTCTCACCAGCCTGTCCAGTCTGAATGTAATGGTCAGAAGGTCTGGCTCCAGCTTCCCTCATCCCCCAGCTGACGGCTATTTGGACTGGGTCTGGAACCATGATGAGCCTGGTACCAGAGACCATCACTTTGGGTAATATTTTTCAACTTCATTTTAAAAATTAGTTTCTGATTAAAATCACATGTACACTATAAAAATCATATGGCCTGTTGGCAAAATTTCAAAATTCACATGTAAAAAAGGTAAAAAATAAAATTCAAATCTCCTGAAATTCAACCAATTGAAGAAAACCCAGAGTAAACTTTTTTTTTTTTTTTTGGTCTGGGGAGGATTACCGGGGATTGAATTCAGGGTCACTCGACAACTGAGCCACCTCCCCAGCTCTTTTTTGTATCTTATTTAGAGATAGCATCTCCCTGAGTCGCTTAGGACCCCACTAAATTGCTGAGGCTGGATTTGAATTCTTGATCCTCCTGCCTCAGCCTCCTGAGCCGCTGGAATTAGTGGGATGCACCATCGCACCTGGCTCCAAGTAAATTTGATATATTTCCTTCAATTCTTTTTTCCCTTGAATTCTATATTAATATTTGGATTATATCATATAGGTCTTTTTTAGTCTCTTTTCACTTAAACATCCTTCTGTATTTCTAATTTTAAAAAATAATGGCGGCATAATATTCCAACAAATAAATATTTGCTATTTATCCCCAAATGCTGGACATTTAGGTTTGTTCAACTTTTTCACATTTACAAATTAAGTTCTGGTGAGGAGTTATGTACTCCTGTCTACAAATCCTTGATTACATCCTCACTGTTTGGCCACTTGAAAGGGGAAGAGAAGCAGAACGCTTTATAAGCCACCTGTATCAGACAGCACCATTAACATTAGGTAGACCAGTTAACTTCCACAAATTAATATTCCTATTTCAGGACCTTTCATATCCAATTTAGCACCTAATTTTTACAGTTTTATGGTGCTCCTAATTGCTTTGTGTGCATAAATCAACCCACACTCAATTCTTGAACTCTATGAAGCCAAGGGCTATAGAACAAGGCAAAGGTTTTATAACTCATTTTAATTTTTATTCTTTGTTTTATGCTTATTTAATTTTTATTAGTTTTTAAATTTCTCTCTAGTTACTGCAATTGACAAAGGAAGCACTTTAGAAACCTAAGAATCACATTTCTGGGAGCGTACACAGCAATGCCAGGAGGCAAGCACTTGGTCAGAGTGTCAGGGACCAGGATGCCATTTCTCAGGAAATACACCACCCTCATCCCACCCCATGCCATGTGCACATCTTCTCTGATGCCCCCCACCCCGCTGGCCAGCCCCACACCTGCACCTCGGAGTGTCATCCTAGTTTCCTTTTTCTGAAATACAGTCATTCTAAACAGCCCATTTTCCTAGTGGTTGGTAAAGAAGAAAAAGCCCACATCATTCACCTAGAAAAGGAACAAATAACAGCCCAACTCCCAGGGTCTTATGAGTCTGTGCATTTAAAATGGGTCACCCTTCAGTTCAAACCAATCTATTGGAATCTGTCTGCCAGTTCACCAACATGAACGAGACTTGGGGTAACACAAGACAACCATGTTGGTGGGAGACAGAAAGAGACCCTCTCTCCATCTCTTAAGGTCTCTTCCAGATAAACAATTCATGTTTATAATGAATTCCAGCCATAAATACATTTTTGGTAATTAAAAAAAAAAAACACTCTTCAAAAAAGTAAGCTCTTGCATTATTATGACAATCCAGTAACAATCCTTGTGCTCTGCTCCCCAGGTCAGTGCTGGACCACCCACGTACTAAGGACTCGGTCAACGCTACTTGGCCCCCAATGCTGCTGCATTAGTTGCTGTCCAAAAGAGCAATCAGTTGAAATCAGAATTTTTTCCTTGCATTTCCCATTTGCACATGAAGCCCGGGTTTTCCGTGGGCTCCCCCTGTCCCTCCTCCCTCCCTCTATGAGTACCTGCACCACGCTGTTCCCTGCAGCCACGGTGGCCCTTCTCCACATGCGCCTCCTGGTGGGAACCTCACTGAGCAGCTGGGCCAGCTTGCGCTCCATCTCAGCTTGAAACACCTCATTCTGGAGCTGCTTCTCCACAACGCCCAGGAGGACTGCATGCAACAGGAAACACGCAGCCCCCAACAAGTCAGAGGCGGAAAGGGTGGGACTGCATGGGTGTGTACGTGTGTGAGGCCGAAATTAACACAGATCACTACAAATGCTGATCCTAGAGAGGAGACGTTAGGAGTGGGCAAAATGGATGAGGGTGGACCTGGCAGTGCTTGATCTTATCTAAGTGTTCTGCAGACCGGTGGCCAGAAAACCTGGGAACGCAGCACAGTAGGAGCTCTGGAGCAAAGAGCATCTGTGCGAGATCCAACCTTGTGTCTGTCTGCACTTATCTCAAAACTTCTGGAAACAGTGTGCATCCTTATCTTGTCTTAAGACTTGGACTTTCAAACTCACTTGAAGAAAGGGGTGTCTGGCTGCCTTCTGATATCTACTTTAGAGGAGATTTATCTATACAGACAATCAGCTTATCAGCATGGCCCACAGGGAAGCACCATGTGCTTTCCAGCCAGAACTAGTTTCAATCCTCTGTGAGATACAACCTTAGGCAAGTCACTCAGTCGCTACAAAGATCATCTAGAAAACAAGGCCCACATGCCATGCAAAGAGGCAGGCCCCTGCACGGCACGCTGTATGTTCAGTAAGAACCGGCATCCCGTAAACGGTACCTGTGCCAATCACATGCTGCTTGTACTCTGGCACCAAGGGAGTGTCTAACTGTTGGTTAGACTCGTGGACCTGGTTAGAAAGTCTCTCTCTGCGATGCCCTCCCTCTAAATAGCTGCTGTGGGCCCCTGTGGCAGTTTAACTATCTTACTTGTCTTTCTAAACCAACAAATAACAATTTTAGGAAAAAAAAAAAAAAGATCCTCACTTCTGAACCTCATCTTGTTCCAGGTCGGGACATTGTGAGTTCTGGTTAGATTCTGCCCTGGACTGATGTATAAATTTTAAAGAAGGCCAATCCTTTTTGTGCCACAACTCAGTGGGACACTTTCCCATAGCCCAATTTGAATCCCTTTCTCATTCATTCTCTGCCAAGAATTTAAAGTACATTTTGTCCTCAATTTAGGAAACAGGAAAGGCGTCTCATTCTCCATATGCCCACACAGACTTCTCATTCTTACAGTTCCCAAAACATTATGCCAGTTCTACTCACCTGTTCTGACCCAGGAGGACTTCAGTAACTGAGATAGGTTGAGTTGTGGGTACTGGAAGGCTACAAAAAGGAAAGAGATGGGGAGGAGAGACTCTGTAAGAAACACGTTTGCAACAGTCAGAAAGGCCAGCGCCCTGGAGCACCAGGCGAGCCGTCGGAGCATCCCTGCCGTGCCATGGAGGACACGGTGCCAGGCCAGTGTGACGACCAGACGGGAGGCAGCTTCTGGGCATGGTGTTCTCTAGGAGAGAGACGGTCAACAGAAACAGCGGGCCTTCCCCAGCCCCAACACAGGACACTGCTTCCCAGAGACGCCCCTCAAGTTGCATGGAGGTCACTGTTCCAGGCAATGCGTTCCCACTGTGCTCTCAGAGCCCTGGGCTTTCCCAGCAGTGACCCAGGGCAAAGTGACCATGTGTCCTGGCTTGCCTGGAACAGTCTCAGCACGCCTCTGCTGTCCAGCATACTTATTATTTTTAGCTGCTGTATAATATGCGCAACTGGAAGTTGCTATATCCCTGTCTACTTCTTATTTTATACATTATTCTTTTGAACTTAATCACCAATAATCTGAAAAATGTGAAGTCCTTAGGCCGCTCGGTTGTTCCATTTTCAAAAAGAATCTGATACTTTTTTTTGTCTGACTTCAACTCTAGAATGTATCATTTTTGAGGTAAACATTCTCCCTTCCTCACCATGACCTCCAAGGGCTCTGTGAACCTTATTGCTTCAGTTTTGTTTTCACTTATTACATTGTATCTTTTGTTTTGTTTTTACTTATTACATTGTATCTTTAAATTAACACACAGTAAAATTCACTCCTTTCGATGTCCAATTTTATGGGTTTTGATCCATATGCACAGTCAAGTGGTGCATATGGATCAAAACACCAGGGTGGGGTACAGACAGTCCCATCACTCCCTAAACCACCTCCTGCCACACTGCTATAGTCAGACTTCCTCCCACACCAGCCCCAGACGCCACAAACCTATTCCCCATCACTGTACTGCTGCCCTTTTCTAGAACTAGAGTACTCTTTAATGTACCCCTTTACTCTCAAAGTCACAGAGAAGCCCAGCACAGGAGGAGGGCTCTGGAGAGCCACCTGGTTAAATTCTGAGACGTTCTGATTTTATCTGATTTAAATCTGATTCAAATATTTCCTTTGAAAAGGAAGTCCCAGTGAAACTACTCTGTACGACATTACAATGGTATAGACTTACCACTGTACATTTGCCCAAACTCAAGAACACACATCACCAAGAGGGAGCCCTGACTGCAAATTGGTGCAACCACTCTGGAAAGCAGTATGGAGATTCCTCAGAAAACTCAGAATGAAACCACCATTTGACCCAGCTATCCCACTCCTTGGTATATACCCAAAGGACTTAAAAATCAGCACACTACAGTGACGCAGTCATATCAATGTTTATAGTAGCTCAATTCATGATACCTAGACTATGGAATCAAGCTAGTGCCCTTCAACAAATGAGTGGATAAAGAAAATATGGTATATATACACAATGGAATGTTATTCAGCCATAAAGAAGAATGAAATTATGGCATTTGCCAGTAAATAGTTGGAACTGGAGACTATTATGCTAAGTGAAATAAGCCAATCCCAAAAAAACACAAAGCCCAAATGTTCTCTCTGGGGAAGAACAGAAGTTCACTGGATGAGACAAAGGGGAATGAAGGTGAGGGAGGAAGGATGGGAATGAGAAAGACAGTTGAATGAACCAGACATAACTTTCCTATGTTCACATATGAATACACAATCAGTGGAACTCCACATCATATACAACCACAAGAATTGGAAATTATATTCCATGTATGTATAATATGTTGAAATACATTCTACTGCCATGTATATCTAAAAAGAAGAAATAAAAAATTTTATAAGAAATATTTTTTTAAAAAAGTCAGCTCTGACACAAATTATGGCATCTGGGTGGTAATGGTGTGTCAATGTAGGTTCCTTGACTGTAACAAATGGACCACTCTGGGCAGGTATTGACGGGAGAGACTGTCCATGAAGGGAAGGGGTATGATAGGAATCTCCATATCTTCAGGTCATATTTGCTGTGAACCTGAAGCTGCTCTAAAAAAGTAGTCTCTTTTAAAAAAATCAAAATATTTTTAAAAACTGGTCCACCAGCAAAGATGTCAGCAGCCACTTCCCCTGAGCCTCAAAAGCATGCGGTACTCACGTTCTGCGATCTGCAGCACCGGGTACCCCAGGTAGAAGCTGAACTCCACCACGCTCAGGTTCCTGAGCAGCTCGCTCACCTCTGACCCATTCAAAAATCCTTGTGTGTTTTTAACAGCAAAGATAATATTCACCGGGCCCCGCCGAGAGGCCATCCTTGAGGAACCAACAGTGACGTTCAAGATCTGAAAGAAGAAAAGTCAGAAGAAGTTTCTAAAATAAATTAAAACATTCATCTGCAAGCTGGACGATGCGTTCTCTCTCACAGCTCTGGCATCAATGTTTTTAAAAGAGGTAAAGTTATCAAAGGGAAAATATCTGGCTTGCTAACCTGGGTCCCTTTTGCAAGACTTTAAACACTCGGTTTATTGAAAATGCTTTTTACATTAAATGATGCACTGAGCTCATGTATTTATAATCCTTCCCCGGCTCTGCCTCCCACCCAAATCCCACTGAAATAACAAGAAGCTGAACAAAGGGGAATAAATCCACAGCAGCAACTGAGAACAGGGGAATCCCAGAGTCTGTCAAATTTCTGGAAGATGGAGAAAGGACAGGTTCATGTTGAAATAAACCAGAAGGGAGGGAACTGAGACCCAAAACCTACACAGGCAGAGCGCACAGCAGAGCCATTCCCCAAGGAGGACCCAGAGAGACACCCTGGGGAGAGCAGAGGAACAGAGAACACAAGCAGGCCAGAGAGGTAATGGGGATGATTAATTAAAAGATCTGTGCCAAAGAGCTGCCCGGATCCCTTCCTCCCCCACTTCTCAATGCCACACCCAGGCCAGCACAGGCCAAAGAACTGCTCCCAGAGGAAAACAAGTCCCTGGGGAACAAAAGGCCCCTTGTGGGTTTGGACCCTATGTAAGACAGAGGGCAGAGACAGGTAAGTCCAGGGCACGCGAGAGAAAAAGGAAAGAAAGCTCCGTCCTGCCATGAAAAAGAGGTCAGTGTCTCTCTGCTGCATCCTGACAGTGGTCGCTTCTGCCCACCTCTGACCACGTGCTGCACTGGGAAGCCCGCACCAGTATGTTCTGCCCAGCTGCCAGCACCCTGGGAATCCCCCATGAGGAGGCAGGGCGGGCACATGGCTGTAGGGATCTGGACCAGCCTCCAGCATTAGCAACCTGGGCACCTCCAGAGACAGCACAGGGGCGAAGGAGTAAGACCAGCACGCAGAGCAAGGACTGCAGAGAAAGCAAACACAGCTAGGAAACAAAGGAGAGATTTTTAAAATTCAAATTAACATCCTCAGAGGTAACACTGCACTGTCGTTCAAGACGACCGGCATCGTGGAAGGAAAGGCTACTGTGAAAAAGAAGCAAAGAAAAATGGAAATAAAAAAAAAGAGAGAGAGAGAGAGGTTTGCTAAAGAAAAAGTCTACAGGAGGATGAATAATGCCATGTCCAGAGAGGATGACTGCATTAGTGACCTGGAGGGACCGTTTAGACAATCTGTAAAAAATAGAGAATAAACAGACATGGAAAATGTGAGGGGAAAATAAGAAATATGAAAGGTGAATCCAGAGGCACCAAGATCTAGATAACAGGCATGTTAGAACAAAGAATATGAAGGGGGAAAAAAAATCAAAGAAATGTGAAAACATCAGCAGTTTCCATATGATCTGTACAAAGCGAATCCTGGGATGTGAAGCCACCACCTCGGCTTAGACTGAGGTGCTGCACTCAGGTATCCCATAACACAGGCAGAGCCTCCCTAGCCTGAAGGCTCAGGTGCTCCAAAATCCAACACCCTTTAAGCACCAGGTTAGTACTCAGAAAGTTCTGGGTTTAGGAACATTTCAGATTTTTCAGTATCTGGGAAACTCAATCAGTAAAGTCTCTACAAATATTCCCAAATCTGAAAAACTCTGTTATCTGAAACACTCTTGGTCCAAGCATTTTGGATGAGGGATACACAACATTTAGGAAAACAGCAGTATGTTGAGGCACTCCCCCTTGGCTGTTTAGATGGACAGCATTGCTTTTCAGAACATTCTTGAATTTCCTGCCCATGGTCATGTCCTCAGCTCACCACACCGACCTCCCTGGTTGTCAGCTACTCTGCGGTCTCCAAGATGCTCAAGCCGTGCCTACCAGACTCCTGCTGTACTATAGGGAGATGACCCGGGGACACATCACCTGGGTCTCCCCCACTGGGGGCAATGAGGGCTCAGCACAGGAAACACTGAGGGGCAGTTTCCCCTCTACAGGATCCGCATTCAGTTCTGCACCCAGGGACAGTCTCACCTGCACCGTGAGGTTGTACGTCCCCTGGTGCTGCTTCCTCACTTCAAAGAGGGCCGTCATCAGGCCTTTCTCGAGGCGCTGGGTGAAGTTGCAGAAGCCGGTATCCACACTTGGAGGCACGAACTGAAGCACTGAAAACAAGGACAGCAATCAGGTCCCATGAGTGAGGTGCTTCTTGAGGATCACGGAATGAAGAGAGTGAAAAAAATAGAACCTTAATCAACAAATTCACCCATAGAATGCGATCCAGTGCTGTGGTGCTTTATTTCTCTATTTTTCAAACGTTCTTTTTAAAAAATTTTTTATTAAATTTATTTATTTACTTAATTTTTTGGTTCCAGAGTTTGAACCCAGAGGTGCTTAACCACCGGGCCACATCCCCAGCCCTTTTTATTCTTTATTTTGAGACAGGGTCTCACTAAGTTGCTTAGGGCCTGGCTAAGTTGCTGAGACTGATGATAAACTCTTGATCTTCCTGCTGGGATTCCAGGCATGCACCACCAGGACCAGCTTGTTTCTCTTTTTTAATATAAACTTTTTAAATAGCTTTTTGTTTTTAATTAACACATAACGATGATCCATATTGGGGGTAGGGCATATCATTTCCATGCATGTATACAGCCTATAACTATTAGATCAGAGTGACTGGCACGTCTCTCCCCTAAAGCATTTATCATCTCTTGGTGCTGGGATCGTTCAAAATCCTCTCTACTAGTTATTTTAAAAAGAGACAATTAATTGTTTTTAACCACAGTTATTCTGTGCTAGGGAACATCAGAAGTCCTCTCCAGCCTTCCTTCCCCACTCACATCCCTTCCAGGCTCTGGTAACCACCAATCTACTCCCTACTTCTTTGACATCCGCTTTTCAGCCTCCATCTGTAAATGAGAACACGTGGTATCTGGCTTCCTATCCCTAACTTATTTCACTTAATGTCCTCTAGTTCCATTCACGTTGCTGCAAATGACAGAATTCCACTCTTCTTTCTGCCCAAATAATATTCCACTGTGTATATATATCACATTTTCTTTATCCACTCAACTGCCCATGAAGGTCTAGTTTGAGTCCCTGTCTCAGCTTTTGTAAATAGAGCTGAAACTACCCATGCAAGTGCAGGTGTCTCTTCAACATACCAATTACTTTGGACATATATCCAGTAGTGCTATTGCTGGACCAAATGGTACCAAACTTCTAGTTTTTGAGGAACCCCCATGTTTCCTCAAATGAATATATGAATGTTCTTTTCCGTAATGCATATACAAATTTACACTCCCACCGACAATGTATGAGAGTTCCCTCTTCTCTTCATCCTTGCCACGTTGATTTTTTTTTTTTTCTGTCTTTTTGGTATAGCCATTCTGAAGTGAGACAATCTCTCACTGCGGTTCTGATTTGTGATTCTCTGATGCTTAGTGAGGCTGGGCAATTGGTAGCCCTTAGTATACACCTGTTGGCCACACATATAATTTCTTTGGATAAATGTCTCCTATGGTCATTGATTCATTTCTTAATCAGATTGTTTGGGGTTTTACTGTTGAGTTCCTTACACATTGTAGAAGAGAAACACTTGTCAGATGCAGAATTTGCAATCACTTCTGCCCTCTGAAGACCATCTCTTCGCTGTTTGCCTTTCAGAGACTTTCTAATTTGATGCAATCCCATTTGTCAATTCTGCTTTCGTTGCCTGTACTTTTTGGGTCATATCCAAAAAACCTTGCCCAGACCAATGTCCTAGAGCATTTCCACTATATTTTATTCTAGTAGTTTCATAGTTTTCATATCTACTTTGAGTTGACTTTTTTCCTTTTGTCTGTGTGTGTGTGTGATTACTGGCAATTCATTGAACCTAGGGCCTCACCCATGCCAGGCAAGCAATTTACCATGAAGCTACACTCTCAGCCCCTTGAGTTGGTTTTTTGTATATGGAGAAGAAATAGGGATCTAGTTTCTCTCTTCTGCATGGATGTCCAGTTTTCCCAGCACCATGTATCGAAGAGAACATCCTTTTTTTTTCCAATGTATGTTTTTGTGAAAAGTCAGTTGGCTGTAAATACGTGGATCTATACCAGGTTATCCATTCTGTTCCACTGGGTTACAATTCTGTTTTTGTGCAGTACAAGCTGCTTTGGTTATTATCACTGTGTATGTTTTGAAGCCAGGTATTGTAATTTCTCCAGCTTTGGGGGTTTTGTTTGTTTCGCAATGAGGATAGAACCCTTGAACACAGGGTCATCTGTCATTGAGCTACACATTGAACTAATTTTGTGTTCTTACTTTGAACTAATTTCTTATTTCTTATTTTCAAACAGGGTCTAAGTTGTTGAGGCTAGCCTCAAACTTGCAATCCTCCTGCCTCAGCCTCCCATGTAGCTGGGATTCTAGGTACACACCACAACGCCCAGTAAGTTCTGCTCTTTTTGATCAGGATTCCTTTGACTGTTCTGGTTCTTTCATGGCTCCACACAAATTTTATAAGTTTTTTTTTTCTACTTCTGTTAGGAACATCATTGTTATTTTCATAGGAAATGCACTGAATCTATAGATTGCTTGGGTACAATGGACTTTTTTTATATTTATTTTTCAGCTCCAGGAGGACACAATATCTTTATTTTATTTTTTATGTGGTGCTGAGGATCGAACCCAGTGCCTCATGCATGCCAGGCGAGCGTGCTACCACTTGAGCCACATCCCCAGGCCCATGATGGACATTTTAACCACATTAATTCTTTCAATCCTTGGACATAGAATATGTTCCCATTTTTTGCTCTGTGTGTGTCCTCTTTAATTTCTTGCATCAGCATTTTATGCTCTTCATCGTAGAGACCATTCGCTTCCTCAGTTAACTTATCCCCGAGTGCTTTCTGGTTGTTATTGTTTGTTTGGGTAGCTATCCTGAAGGGGATACCTTCTTGATTTCTTTCTCAGGAGTATCAGTACTGTTGTATTAAGGCACTACTGATTCTTGCTTCTTGATTTTGTACCCTACAACCTTGCTGAATTCATAAGATCTAACAGGTTTTTTTTTTTTTAGAGTCTTCAGGTTTTTCTAGCTATAAACTCATGTTGCTGCAAACAGGGACATTTCGACTGCCTGGCCCTTTGGCATCCGGCTGTTCTTTATTTCCTTGCCTGTCAGCTCTGGCCAAGACTTCCAGTACCACATTGGATAACAGTGGTGACAATCGACAGTGTTGTCTTATTCCAGATATTAGAAATGACAATTTTAATTTTTCCCATTCAGCAAGAGGTTGGCTATGTGTTTCTCATATGCAACCTTAACTATATTAAGTATTAGGTATTTAATTTTTGAGGGTTTTTAATCATGAAGGGATGTTGACTTTTATCAAACACTTTTTCTGCACCTGTTGAGATGATTATATGGTTTTTGTCCTTTATTCTTTTGTTGTGATGTGTTTATTGATTTACATATGTAGAATCTTCTTTTCCTCCTTGGGATAATCCCACTTGATGATGGTGTATAATTTTTTTAAATTCTTTTAAATTTTAATTTGTTACATATGACAACAGAATGCATTACAATTCATATTACACAGATAGAGCATGACTTTTCATATCTCTGGTTGTACATAAAGTAGGGTCACATCCTTCATGTCTTCAAACATGTGCTTGGGGTCATGATGACCAAGACACTGCACTGTCTTTCCTACTCTTATGCCTCCTCTGTTCCCCACTCTCCCCTTTTCCCCTTTACCCTATCTACAGCTCACTTAATCCTCCCATCCCCTATAATTTTTTTACATATTATGAAATTCACGTCACTAGTATTTTATGGAGAATTTTGGCATCTATGTTCACCAGAAATATTGGACTGTAGTTTTTTTTTTGTTTTTTTTTTTATCATTGTCGTGTCCTTGTCTGGTTTTAGTATCTGTATAAGGTGGCGTTCAAGACTCTGTTTGGAAGAGTTCCCTAGTTTTCAAGGCTTTGGAATAGCTTGAGAAGAACTGGCGTCAGTTCTTCCTTAAAGAGTTTATAAAATTCGACAGCGAAGCCATCTGATCCTGAACTTTTTTTTTGTTGAGAGACATTTTATTACTAATTCAATCTCATTACTTGCTATTGGTCTGCTCAGGTTTCCTACATATTTGTGGTTCAATTTTGGTAAGTTACATGTGTGTAGGAATTTATCCGTTTCTTCTGAGTTTTCTAATTGGTGGATATACAGTTGCTCCTAATAGTCCCTCAGGATGATCTCTCATATTGCTGTGGTATCAGCCG